TAATCCATGATGATCTCGTCTCAAGATCCTTAACTTAATGACATCTGCAGAGACTGGTTTATCAAATAAGGTAAGATTCACAAGTTGCAGGGACCTAGACATAAACGTATCTTTTTAAGGCCATTATTCAATCCACTACAGGGCCTCCAGGCAAAGAGCTCAAATTACTTAGAAGGGTAAGAATACTAAACTGGCATCACACTTCTCGTAAGCAACAGACAAAGCAAGTCAATAATGGAATAGCCTTTTAAAGGACTTAGGAACAGAGTGTGAGCCAATGTTTTTATATCCAGCCAGGCTCTTTCAAATATCAAGATTAAAGTAAAATAGTTTCAACATACAATAACTCAGGGATACTGTACACATGTACAGTAGGGCTCTCCTAGAGGATGAGCTTTGTTTGAGCAAAACTAGAAAAATTTTAGCAAAGGGACTGGTGGTGAAAATATATTTTGTGGTTGATATGGTCTGGTTCTGTGTCTCACCCAAATCTCATCTTGAATGGCAATCCAAATTGTAATCCCCACATGTTTGGGGAGGGAGCTCCTGGCAGGTGATTAGGTCATGGGGACAGTTCCTCCATGCTGTTCTCGTGTTAGTAAGTGAGTTCTCACGAGATCTGATGCTTTTATAAGGGACTTTTCCCACTTTGCTTGACACTTCTCTCTCTCCTGCCACCATGTCAGGAAGGACATGTTCGTTTCCCCTTCTGCCATGATTGTAAGTTTCCTGAGGCCTCACCAGCCATGTGGAACTGTGAGTCAATTAGACCTCTTTCCTTTATAAATTGCCCAGTCTCAAGTATTTCTTCATAACAGCATGAAATGAACTAATACAGTAGAGTATATTGTGTGGTGAAAATTTAATATTTTTAATTGTATAGCTAAAACACAGGCGAGGACATGGATTAAAGAGTAGTATACATATATTATGTGTTCTGAAAAGCAAAAATTATGCAATCAAAAAGAAAAGAGAGGGGAAGAGAGAAAGAAAGGAGAAAGCAGAGAAGTAGAATTAATAGTTACATAGATAAAGGGTGAAGGAGAAGAGTATAAATGGTCATACCAGACAGTAGAATGTTCAGTAAGAAGAAAAGGAAGTTAAAAGGGATGAAAATGGAATAAATACAACCACTGGAACAAACACACAAACATTCTGAAATGCCAAAAGAAATGGAAAAAAAAACCAAATAAAATATGGCAATTAAAGAAGGAAATATGGTAAGTATGACACATGGAGTAATTATAATATGATACTTGAGACCAAATATATGAGTCATACCAATAAATGGATTGGGCTTTACTGGTTTCCTCTCTTTTCTTGTTATAGTGATGAATAAACCCATTCTCAAATTGGCCCACAAAGCAAAACCTGACCTCATGCTATATTTAATAGACATATATCAAACATGATGATTCAAAAGGCCAAAAATATAAAAAACTGGCAAAGATATACCAGAAAAATACAAACAATAAGAAGATAGGATAGTGGTTATTACATCAGATGAGTTAATTCAGGCCAAAAGCCTTAAATGAGACAATGGAATGTACTATGCAATACTGAAAACCAGGTTTCACAGTTCATGTACAATAATTATGACTATCTATGCACTGAATAACACACCAACCACCAATATAAAACAGAAATCACACAAAGAGAGAATAGGAATAGAATATTAAACACGTTGATAGGAGACTTTAACATCACAGCCAGTACAAGGCAGATTGAATGGGAAGAAAATAAACAAAGTTGTTTAAATAGCTTAATAATAAAGTAGACCTTATGCATATTCAACACTGTGCCCTAATAATAGAGAATGTATTTTCTTTTCAAATATACATAATCATTTTGAAAAATTGGCCATATAAGACCAGGTATGGTGGCTTACATCTGTAATCCCAGCACTTTGGGAGGCCAAAGTGGGAGGATCACTTAAGCCTAGGAGTTCAAGACTGCCAGTATAGTAGGACCTTCACTCTACAAAAAAAATACAAAAATTAGCCAGGTGTGGTGGTGTGCATCTGCAGTCCCAGCTATTCGGGAGGCTGAGGTAGGAGGATAGCTTGAGCCCAGGAGGTTGAGACTGCAGTGATCTGTGATCACGCATTGCATGATTAGCCTGGGCAACAGAGTGAGACCCTATCTTAAAAAGAAAATTCATCATATATTTCTATTTATGGTTGCATTAAATTAACCTGGATAGGCTTGGTAGACCTCTGCTTTTACTCTAACTTCTGCCATGGTCTTTTCTAGTATAGTCTGAGTTGCATGTGCAAGAAAAACAGTTCTCACTTCAATGTGTGATTAAATCCAAAAGTTGACAAGTGATGCTGTTCTTCTCTCTGACCTTTTCCAGACATAGCATAATGAGTATCTCCTTTTTAAGCACAGGATGTGGGATGATTGCAAATAAAATGTGCTTTCACATACAAGTGTCAAGGGATGGATAACTCCTTCACGTCTGCAGGCCTAGTTGGAAAGGTATTAATATTTGATGCTTCTTCTCCTGCAAGCCATTTGGCGTGCCAGTCAGCTGGGCTGTGTGTTCTGTGCTATGGCCTGCGAGATGTACGATGTCATCACATGGCTTTTCGGCAGGGTCAGTGGGAAACACGAGACATGATAGGTTAGTTGCATATGAAATAAGTGCAGAAAAGAAAAGCTGAGCAGTCCTTCCACAGAGCATACAAAAGTACTGCTGCTTCTGCTACAACGGTTATGTCGTTTATTATAAAGTATATGTGATGGCTAATACTGAGCATCAACTTGATTGGATTGAAGGATGCAAAGTATTGCTCCTGGGTGTGTCTATGAGGGTGTTGCCAAAGGAGATTAACATTTGAGTCAGTGGGCTGGGAAAGGCAGACCCACCCTTAATCTGTGGTGGGCACAGTCTAATCAGCTGTCAGCACAGCTAGGATAAAAGCAGGTAGAAAAACATGAAAAGACTAGACTGGCTTAGCCTCCCAGCCTACATCTTTCTCCTGTGCTGGATGCTTCCTGCCCTCAAACATCAGACTCCAAGTTCTTCAGCTTTGGGACTTGGGCTGGCTTCCTTGTTCCTCAGCTTGCGGGCAGCCTATTGTGGGACCTTGTGATCCTGTAAGTTAATACTTCTTTTTATATATATATATACACCCACATCATTTATTTTGTTATTTAGTAATTCCTTTTTTCTTTTATGATAAACAAGTTTGGCAAAATGAGATTTTTAAAAATGCATGCATGCTCAATGAAAAAGTGTTACTGTCTTTTGACACTCAGGAAGTTAATGACAAACATGTAATTTGCACAATATGTTTCAAAACATTTGCCATCCAACAGGGACTGTGGCTATATCACTGACCTCAAGAAAACCTATGGACAAAATCTGCTAAAGAAGTACCAGCATCTATGTCAAAAGTCAGTCATTATTTTAAGAAGACTGTGCTGGAAGACGAGTATTTAACATAAGCAGATACAAAAGGTGCAGTTACAAGTCACTGTGAAGCAGTGATGGCTCCTTATTTAGATCAGACATCTGCTCTTCCAAATGCATTTCTTTCCACTTGCAATAGTGGTTCCCAGGGAAGGGCTGCGGGTACTGATGGGACTGACGGTGGGTGGAAAAACCCAGGCCTTCTGTGTGTCACGCAGCGCTGTTCGGTAACGTCAAAAATGAAGCCTTTTCCTGTAAAAGGGATCAATCCAGGTAAGTCAGGTTTATCGGAAAGCCTCTGTGCTGAGGGAGGGGTTACATGTGGAGGATTTCATGGCCAGGAATGAAAGGAAAGGGTTTCTAGCTGACCCAGTAGGTGGGGGTGGAGGGTGGTATTCTTTATTTTCTTTTGGAGGGGGACAGGATCTCACTCTGTCACCCAGGCTGGAGTTCTGTGGCACGATCTCGACTCACTGCAACTTTCGCCTCCCAAGCTCAAGCAATCCTTCGACCTCAGCCTCCGGAGTAGCTGGGATTACGATGCACAGCACCATGCCCGGTTAAGTTTTGTATTTTTTGTAGATATGGGGTTTCATCATGTTGACCAGACTGATTTTGGACTCCTGGGCTCAATCAGTCCACCTGCCTTGGCCTCCCAAAGTGCTGGGGTTATAGGTGAGAGCCCCCGCGCCCGGCCGGGGATGCTGTTCTTCAGTCTCCAGTAAGCAGAGTGGCTCCAGAAGGGAGGGCGGGGGCTGAGGGGCAGAGGCCTGAGGTCCTGTTTGCTTTATCTTCTGGTTTCAGTGTGTGTGCAGGGCTGCAAGCCCTGGCAGGGGCCTCTGGCTGCCCAAGGCACACACGGGGCCTGCTCACCCTGGGCTCTGAGCGAGAGCGACACTGAGCCCAGACACGGTGACTCTTTCTTCCAGAGCTTTGAGTCAATTTCTTCCAGGGACATCTGCATCTTGGCGCGGCTTGGCTTTGCCCTCCTGTGTAGGTTCTTGTTATTTATTTCCGGAATTTCCGGAGTAGGGGATTTACTCTTCATTTTAAAGGACTGGCTGGGTGGGAATTGTTTCAGAGGTGGCACGGCACAGCTCTTACTGGTAAGAAGAAAGGGAGGAGCTTTTGTGTGGGGACTTCTAACCACAATGAAAAGGTTGTTTGCTTTATAACTATTGAAAAGAAGGGGAAAACCTCCCACCAAAAGCAAAATAACCACACACATGACCACACAAAGCTGCAAAATTCTTGGATAGGATTAATTTCAAATTCCTTGATTAGATTCAAGTTGGTGTTTCGCAATAGCCACGCCATTACTAATTTAAAGGAAGTTCAAGGCCTTGGGAAAGAAAGCCTCCATCTCTTAGCATAGCCATGAAAATACACATTTTCCTGTCAGCCTTCAGAAAATGACGTCTGAGCTAGAAGAAATTAACCTAATGGCAGTTCAGGCAGGAAGCTTAAAATAAGCTTAACTGTTGTCTTCTTCCTTTTTAGATTGGTTTCCCCTCCAAGCTGGGATTTGAACTCTCTTATCTCCAGGGTTAGGGTTGGAGATGGAGTTGTAAGGACAGAAAAGGAAGAGGAATACACAGATTTTTTGCTGACGGACTTGGCCCCAGCTTTGCAGGCTAACTGAAACTCCCAAGGCCTTGAGATTTTTGAAAACTGCCATATTTCCTCTAGTTGAAGACTCATTTTATATTTTTTCACATGTTAACATTTATGAAATTGGGATGTGTAATGTATGCCCTGTCAAAAAAATTTCCAGCAGCTGTGCAGAGGAGTGACATGCCAACGTGGCCTGCCTCGCCTGCGGCCACACCACCTTCGCCAGCTTCGTGGAAGTATCTGTTCATCCATTGTGTCACTCTGTTTTGTTATTTTCATTGGTAGGCACAGCACACTGTTAACTTAGATTCATGTTCCTAATTGCCACTGAAAGCGTCTCTCACAAGATAACTCTGCTTTACTGTATTGGAGCAAAAGTCATCATCATGCGTGCAAAAGATTGCCTGGCATATGCCAGGCATTAAGCATTGCCCCACTGCACAGAGTAAATGGTACAATTTTCAAAGCAAGGGGAAATTGGCATGACTACTTCATGCATCATTAAAAAAAAAAAAAAAAACTATTATTCAAGCTCCAAAATCTTTAAAAGCTTCTAGTGATTTTCAAAAGAAGTTACTTAATGTTTATCTTTAAAATAAGGAAAAACAGAATTATAAGTTTAGCCAAAGAGGAAATGCCAATAAACCACTAGGATTCTCTATGATACCCTAAAATTACATTGTCAATCTTAAGCGTGCTGAAGAGGCCAAGCTCATAAGCATGGCTGGAAAGTGGCGTTCTCCATCCCGCTGTGAGTAACTGTGGGTGTCCGAAATCATGTGGAAGAATATTTAGTCTCTGATAATGAAACAGGCCAGAGTTAAACTTTGGTAATGAAAGCAGCATGTAATGGCATGGATAAGTGAATTCCAAAGTCATTTAAGAAGACACACAGTAAGATGTGCGCCTCTCTCTCTGTCTCCCTTTCTCTATCTCTTCCTTTCTTTTCCCCCTTTTTCCTTTCTTTCTTTTTTTTCTTGGGGGGGGGGAGGACAGAGTTTCACTCTTGTTGCCCAAGCTGGAGTTTGATGGCACCACCTTGGCTCACCACAACCTCTGCCTACTGAGTTCAAGCGATTCTTCTGCCTCAGCCTCCCGAGTAGCTGGGATTACAGGCATATGCCACCACACCCAGCTAATTTTGTATTTTTAGTAGAGATGGGGTTTCTCCATGTTGCTCAGGCTGGTCTCGAACTCTCGACCTCAGGTGATCCGCCTGACTCAGCCTCCCAAAGTGCTGGGATTACAGGCGTGAGCCACCGCGCCTGACCTCTCCCTTCTTTGTTTCTAATCTCTCTTCCTTCCTTCTTTTCTTTCCTTCTCCCACTGAAATGCTGCTATTAAATTGATAGAGTATCTTATAACTGATGGCATCTTAGAACTGGGGAAATAGAGTGTTTGTCAGGCTGCTTGATTTAGCAACTGAGGGTTGAAGGGATGGGGGTAATTTCAAATCAGTGAGATTACTGGATTTCTTTTTAAAAGGTGCTGATGAGATAGAATCACCATAACAGAGTCAGGCACAGATGAAAAGATCAGCAAAGGCCAGGTTCCCTCGACTTATTTTGAATGGATGGAGAAACGGTGAATCTTGGGTTTATGAGCATGACCAGTGGGTCATATGGGCAGAAAAGCAAGTGGCAGTCTCAAAAGAAGAGGGCATTTAGAATCCGAGGTTCAAGCTGGAAGAGATCTTGGTCACCTCCTTGCTGAATGCCTTAATTCAACAAATGAGGAAAATGGGCTCATACGGCAGGAATAATCTATAGAACTAGGACAGGATCCTAGGTGTCCAGCCCCTATTCTATGGATTTTCATCTGGAGAAGTCAGTCATGTACCTGTCTCAGGGCCTTTGCACCTCTTTTCTCTTTGCTCAGATCATTCTTCCCCTAAATAGCCACATGGCTTTCTTCCTCATCTCCTTCAAGTTTTTGCTTAAATTTCAATTTCTCAGTGAGGTCTTCTCTGACCATTTAGACCAGAATATGCCATCTTAAAATATGACTATAGAAGACCAGAATATGCCACCCCAAAATATGCTTCTTGGGCATAAGGATTATTTTGAGCTGATTATTTTGAGAAACTGCAGACACAGGAGTTCTAATCTGAAAACAGATCCCTGTGCAGGGGAAATCTACATCTATAAAGGAAATCTCCGCTTGTAAGAGTATCTCCCTCTCAGTATCAGGGCAAGAAGGATGTGTGGAAGTCACTGGAATCTCTAGTCAATGAAGCAGGTGCTGACTTGATTCTGCATAACAAACCTTACCCTTGTCTACCATGAGTTTCCTGGTGACCTCCCCACAGCACTCTGACCAGTAATGCAGGAGAGCTGAGGTCTCGGCATCCTCCTTCACACCTGGTCTTGCCAGTTCTTTCTTTTTAATGTTAGCCATTCTCATAGGTGTTTGTATTTTCAACTTATACTTCCTTAATTACTGAGTATTATCTTTTCATGTTTAATAGGACTGAAACCAAGTTAAACAGATTTCTCTACTGCAGCAGGACTCAGAGCTTTTTTGAATTGCCTGATGGGCAGATAGCTGGGAATTCTTTTTCTATGGTCAAGTAAAGATTGCAAGGCTAGAATTTCAGTGAAGGTATTTTGGCAAGTCCTGACCTACACGATTGAAGGGGTCCAGAATATGCCACCCCAAAATATGCCACTTTGACATATGGTTTATTTGGGGCTGAAAGCAATTGAAAATGAGCAGATGCAGGATGAATCCTCTGCTCTCTCTTTTCCTACCTGAAACAAGGGCATAACATTCCCTTTGTGGAAGGTGTTCCTCAACTCCCATACCAGGAAGTGTAGAGCAACTCTTACCATCAAAGATGGAGGGTCAGCATTGAGATGAGTCTGCATAAACAAGCTTTGTTTTAAAAAGTTTCCTCCATTAATCTCCCCTATGTATTTCCTAGTCACTTTCCCACAATTTGTCTTCCCTTTCCTTTGTTAAAATGATATGTAAGTCCCTGAGCCTAATCACTTTGCATTTCACCAGTTTTCTGTGAACTCCTAGGTATGTAAAAATATAAATACATTTGTATTCCTTTTCTCCTGTTAACCTGTCTTGTGTCAGTTAAATTTACAGGCTCCAGCCATTAAACTTACGGGACAGAAGAAAGTTTTTCCTCCCTAACACGCTCAAGCACCTATTCTTCTAGAAAGCATTTCATCTGTTTCCAACCAATTCATTTCATATTACTTCCTTCTGGTTTCTATTCATAACAGAAACATTTTGGGGTTATCAACTATGCTACCTTCAAGCCTTTGCTCACGCTATTCTACCTGCTTGGAACACTTTACCTTTTTTCCTCCTCTCACTTAATCTACCCAGCCTTTCCAGCCTTCCTCCTGCCTCTTCTGTCAGAAATGAGGCAGGAATAATACAGGGTGGTCGCAGAAGAATAGAAAATTCTAGGCAGGCATTTCACATGACTAGCAAAAGGAAACTGTTGAAATAGCCACAGGAGCTAAGGGCTGATAGGACCCTGAAAAACTAGGGTGTAGGCCAAGCTGGCTGAGACCAACTAGACCCAACATGGTACTGGATTTGACCGAGGTTTCTCTTAGGACCTCATTATTCATTCATTAGCATACAAATCGCATACCCGGCAGCGCCATGACAGTTCCAGGAACACCCATATTTGGTGTAAAACTGGGTGGCACCACAGTTCTGAGAAATCTCCACCTTTTTAGAGGAATTTTCATGAATATTCCACCCCTTGGTTAAAGAAACTCATACAAGTAGCAGCCCCAAACACCCTTGCACACAACTTTCTCGAATCCGCCTGTACTCCCCTATCTTGAGTGTGTACTTTTCACTTTGCAGCAAATCTCTGTACTTTCACTATTTTCTGACTCATCCTTGAATTTCTTCTCCCAACGATATCAAGAGCCTGGGCACCGGCTGGGGTCAAGGTCCCACTTGTGTTTGGGGACCTGTCCAGCCCACCAGTATCCATGACTGGGACACTCATGGGACTCATGATTAGACCCTCAGTAGCTTTTTTCTATATTTTCCCAAAGGGATTCTGCTCCATTTTTCTAACTAAATAGTTAGCGGAAGGCCCTAGTGGGTCTGTATCAAAAAGTCCCTTGATACATTGAGCTGAGCATAGCTATTGCTTACAAACATTTATTGAATTCATATACAGTAAATCAACAGGCATTTATGTCAGTTCACTTAAATGTTAGCTCTTCATTTAGCCAGCTACCAAGAATAAATGCCGAAAAAAGAACTTTGTTTGTAGTTCCTGGCTAAATGGGGAGAAGACATTTAATTGGAAATTATGCAGCTCACAGCTGGGTTTCTTGGAACTTGTGGATGAAACTAGAAGTGTATGGCCAAGCCTACCAACAAACCCCCAAACCGTGACTTCTCCTTTGACACATCATTCATGAAATGAAGGAATTAGAGAGGAGATCACCCAGTCCACACTTATCTCCAAACTGAATTGCACCCAAGGCTGGAAGAAACAAATGGAGCCCACGGCATTCAGATTTCTGTGCCCTGCTGTCCTCTCCTTGGTACTCTCACGTGTTTTGTCCAATTTCCCATACCCAGCTCCTTAACCAAAGGGACTGGCTGGGCCAGGCAGAGGTTGGGTTAAGAGTGCTCAGGTGTCCCAGGATGACTGTTGAGGGTGGTGGCAGCTCTCCTATGTCTCAGTCCCCCGGGAGCACCTCAGCCTGCAGCAGCATCAAACTGGGTGGCACTCCCAAGTATGGAGCCAGAAATCAGTCCGTGGGAATATGACGCACCCAGTTTGACAGTGACTGTGTCCTGAAACTCCCTGTCCTTTGTTCTTTCAACAAATATAGATTGAGCAGTCATTATATATCTCCTATCTATCAGGCACTACAAGAGTTCCTGGAGGATACTGGTCTGAAGTTAGCATGACCTTGACCCAAGAAACTTATAGTCCTGATAAGAACTTCCATCAGAACTCCAGATGTAAGTCATGCTTCCTGGGTTATGCTATTGGTGGTGATGGTGGGAGAGGGAAGGAGGGTGGGGTGAAGTAAGAGCCTACTAGTAGTCACAGATGTGTATGGCTTTGACTGCCGGGCATAGGAGTCTGGTAGTTTTGAGGGTCTATCAGTATACGAAGTCCTTTGATCTTCTTGGCTTCCAGAAGGTAGCACAGGCCTTGCTGTTTGCCCAGGCCCATGGGGTCAGTCCTCTTGGGTACCGTGGCATGCAGATGAGGGTGCTCACCCAAGACACCCTGTAGTGCTGATTACTGGCTGAAGGCACTGAATATCTGATATAGTTTGGACAAATCTCATGTTGAAAGTAGATCCCCAGTGTTGGAGGTGGGGCCTGGTGGGAGGTATTTGGATTGTGGGGTCAGATCCTTTATGGCCATTTGGTCCCATCCTCGTGGTAATGAGCAAGTTCTTGATCTACTAGTTCCTGAGAGATCTGGTTGCTAAAAAGAGTCTAGCAGCATCCTCCACTCCCTCTCCTCCTCTCTTACCATGTGATATGCATACACCGGCTACCCTTTACCTACTGCTCCAGCGCCACGCTTCATGTACAGCCTGTAGAACTCTGAGCCAAATAAACCTCTTTTCTTTATAGATTATTGACTTTCAGATATTCCTTTATAGTGACAGGAATAGACCAAGACAAAATCTATGTATCATCTATCTATCTGTCTCCCTACTCCCACTTCTGTGATGGGAGACTTATCGCCTGGTCCTGCCCTCGACCCAAGCTTCTGTGACCATCTCCCACTCAAATCTGCCCCAACAGTAACCTCAAGTGGGCTTGAGTCCTTGTCACCCCAACTTGCACTAATTTTGTTTCCTATGCTTCAGAATTGTACTTGTTAATATATAACAATATTCGGGCTACCCTAGTTCACGTAACACCTTTGAGAAGTGGCAGTGAGCAACCGCTTCCGCCAGGTGCACACAGCCCCACACCGGCGTGCAGGGTCTGGTCAGTGGAGGACAGCCTAGGTTGCAGCTGAATCTTACCTCATCAGGGCACAACCAAGCCAGGTCCTGAAGGCATGGCCCCTGGCTGGATTATTGCGAGGCGGCGAACACCTTCACAGCTATTCGCTTTATCTGTATGACTGTTTCCCAAAGGTTCCCCTGACTTGAGCTCAAAGGAAGGTCTCTCAGGGCCGCCCATCCTGACTTCCTGGTCACACCACAAATGACCCTCCCAAGGGTCACATCTTCACTAAACACACCTGGCCTCTTCCAGACCCCCCCATTGCTACAAGCCTGAGGCAAGAGGGTACCCACTTCTCTTCTCTGTCTCAACACATCCACCTGGGCCTGGCTTTCACTGATTCCTCACAGCATGGCCGAGACCACAGTGTAATGTTTAACGGGGTTTCATCAGAGGTCAAGGCTAAAGGAAGGAACATAAAACCACATAGGGGTGTTCTGGCTACACGATAACCTCACAAAGACATGATATCAATATATTTCCCAAAGTCTGGTTTCAAAAAGTCTTGGGATGCAGCATTACACGTGGGCTTGCGGTGAGAAATACACATACTCCTGGACTTACGATGGGGTCCCATTCAGACAAACCTGTTGTAAATATCACAGTCCCTTAGCTCGACTCCCTTAAACATGCTCAGAACATACATCAACTTCAGCTGGGCAAGGTCACCCAGTGACACAGGACAACATAGAGTATCATCATTCACCCTCCTGATCGTGGCGGACTGGGAGCTGCATGCAGCTCACTGCCGCTGCCCAGCATGGAGAGAGCATATCAGACCGCACATCACTAGCCCGGGAAAAGAGCAAATGGCAAAATTCATTCCAAGTATGGTTTCTATGGAATGCGTGTCACTTTTACACCATCATAACGTCAAAAAATCGTAAGTTAGAGACCATCTACTTAACAAAGATTTCAATGAAATAGTGCCTTAAATTATGAAGTATATATTAATTCGTTGCATTATTAATTCTGATTCAAATTATTAATGTGCCATCACAGCAGCCTCTCTTGGTAGAACCTCTGTGGACTGGGCTAGAGGCGCTGTGCTGATTTGCAGGCAGAGCTGATCTTGTTCCTGCAGCTTCAGGATGGGTTGTAAGGAAGGGGTGAAAGAACAACATGCAATATGGCAGGTTGAAACATGGTCACAAATTCTTTGGCACTTTTCCCATCAAGAGGCAGAGGCTGTGTCCCATCCCCTGGAATCTGGGTCTGCTTTGGCCAATAGAGAATGGTAGAAGTGATACCATATGACTCCCAAGGATAAGCCATGGAAGGCAATCTAGACTTGCACTGTTGCCTGGGAACATGTGCCCTTGGGGCCCTGAACTTCCCTGTGAGCGGTCCCAGGAGCCTGAGGTTGCCATGCTACAGTGACCACAGGTAGATGCTCTGGTCACCAGCCCCAGCTCAGCCAGCCTCCAGCCAGCCCAACTCAAAGACTGGACACAGGAGCCAAGATGTTGCCTGGGCAATGGGTCATCCAGCCCCATCCAGCCTACCCCCAGCCATGGGACTCATCACAGCTGTGGCCCCAGACGCCACGGAGAAGAGCCACACCTTCTGTTCTCTTTCCAGATTCCTGACCTGTAGAACCTGGGAGCATAAGGATGAAATGGTTGTTTCATGGCTTTTTACACAACAATAGGTAAGTGAAACATGCAGCCTCTTCTCAGTCACTTCCTTCGCCTCAAGAATTAAATCCCACATCCTTGGCTCTCCAAGTAGAAGTCCGGACAAGTCATGCCGCTTATTTCCCCTTCTTTCATTTCAGTTGCAGTGGGAACAAGTTTTGCAGGCCTATTCGTTTCCCAGGGCTGTTGTAAGAAGTTACCACAAACTGGATGGCTTAAAATCACAAAATGTAAGGCCCTGGGAAGAGCCTTAGAATGTGTTCAAATGGTCCTATGTTTATAAAATTTGCAAAAGTAAGACACTTAAACAATGGAGACTGCTGGTTATTTCCACGTTTGCCTCCTCTCTGTTTCTGTGTTCCTTGTGTGGGTGTTAGGAGTGGCCCGGGATGTTTTTCCATATGTGCTTTAGTGGAGTTCAAGTTAGAGATATATTTAGTTTTGGTTAAATGGGACCTATTTATGTGGTTTTCCGACAATTTCACATATAGCTGAGTTATGAATAACCATCCTGATGAGGAATGACTTCCAGGAATACTCCCTGAGCCTACTGGGCTGATTTTCCTGAAGTCAAGACATAAATGTGCAGAGTCAGAGAACACAGGGCAATTGATACCAGCCCTGGAAGTGTGTGGGGAAGGGGCGGAAAAACAATGTTTGAAATATGTGGAACCAGCAGCTCGTCTGTGGAAAATTCTTCCAGCCATCACAGGATAAAACTGTTGGTAGAGGACTTGATTCTTAATGATGCTTATTCAAAAGTGTAGTTCTCCCCAGTTCAGAATAACCTTGGGGATATAGTTTGGATATGTGTCCTCACCCAAATCACATATTGAAATATAATTCCCAGTGTTGGAGGTGGGGCCTGGTGGGAGGCGACTGGATCCTGATGGTGGATCAGGAATGGTTTAGCACCATCCCTCTTGGTGCTGTCCTCATGACAGCAATGAGTTCTTGTGAGATCTGGTCGTTTAAAAGTGTGTATCACCTCCCCCTCACTCGCTTGCTCCGGTTCTGACCATGTGACGTGCCTACTCCCCACTCGCCTTCCACCATGATTGTTAGTTGCCTGCGGCCTCCCTAGAAACTGAGCAGATGCCAGCACCATGCTTCCTGTATAGCCTATGGAACTGTGAGCCAATTAAATCTGTTTTCCTTATAAATTACCCAGTCTCGGCCATTTATTTATAGCAATGTGAGAGCAGAATAATATACTTGGTAATGCAGAGTATACAATTGTAAGTTCATCATATTTATATTTTTAGCTTTTGATAGGAATTGCATGAACCAGAATTGACAGACTTTCTATATTTACTGGACAGAAATCTGTAACATTACTATAAATAATGAATATGTCTACAAAAGCTCCTGTATGAAAGAAAGGCCATAGAGATTTCCTCTAAACTTGACAACAACCCAAATATTTGTATGACATCATTAAGAATGAATTGTGAAGCCAAAATAAACTTTTCCAAGCTTCTTGATAATAAAAAACAAATTTTGACCAAATATGCTGGATAAAAGGCTGCATTATATTTCCATTCTCCATACTTGGTCTTAGCCAAAAGTCTGAGAAGCAATTATATTTCTATTCCTTTTATTTAAAAAATTATAAAATAGCCAGCTAATAAACATATGGAAAAAGTATGATAGAGATATTTTAAGCAGTTATTTAAAGAAAAATCTTAACTGTTTGGACTTCATGTTTGTGTTATTTGCCAGTTTAAAAAATTATTTTTCTTGTGTTCTTTTCTTATTCTAAATATTAACACTCACATATAATTTTATATTTATAATCTTACTTTTTTTCCTTAAACAGGATGCCTCAAATTTCATAAGCTTTGGGATCCCACAAATCCTGAATCTCCCCCTGCCTCTTTCTTTAATCCACCCAAACCTGACTGGAATTTCTATTATTCCCTCCTCTACTTGCCCATATTGAGGACCTGACCTGGGAAGAAGGTAGCCTGCACTGATATCTAACTTGATAGATAGTTGTTGACCAGGGCAAAAAGTTTATGCTAGGTTTTCTTTGGATTACTTTTTTGGAGCTCAAAGCTTGAATGAGCTTTGATGTAGCAGGAGAAATGCTGCTTGGACAGGGAGTCACGCCTCATTCATTCTTCAGTGGGGAAAGGGCTGACGAGTGGGTTTGTGGATAACGGGGGAGGCAATAGCATGGGTTCCCAGACTTTAAAGAGGCCTGTTAAAATGAAAGTTATCCTGGGCTTTGAAGCAAGGGAAATAACACTTCCTTTCTATTTTCAAACAATTTCATGCATCCATGACAAAGAAATATTGAAGATGTGGCCTCTTGGGAACTGAGAACACCAGAAGTTAAATTTATGTAACATTTTCAGAAATAGCTATGGAATAGAATTGTTCAGTGAATTTTCCAAGTCTATAGTGTCATCAAAATCTTTCATGAATTGAATAACGATGTTAAACTGTAGAAAGACCTTTCAAGATCCCAAGAATGGGTAAAATGATGTTGGATTCTCTTAGCCCTGCATACGAAGTTAGGTGACTGAGGAAAAGCAGCAAGCAGCTCAGACCCTGCCTCTAACATAATTTCCCCTGTGACTCTTGTTACACCCTAAAGACATGCGCGGGAAGGAATCCTAACACAGGCCTGTGGGTATCACCAGGAAGGACAAGGCAAACAGAAAAGGGGTAGCACTTAAAACAGAAAACCAATGAGTCCCTGCTCCTGACATGTGCCAATCGCCCCCATGAAGTTAGGGGAGCAGAGAAAGAAACCAGCATGATTGAATGAATCTTCAAATGCAGAACAGATGTTGTTACATGTTTACTTTTTCACAGCAGTATCTTTAAGTCTGAAAAATGGAAAGCTTCCAGGTCACAAAGAATGTGAAGGAACTCAGTGAAAGCTAAGACTCCTACGATGTGTGGAAATTTATGGGCAAATTCTCAAAGCTCAAAAGAGGTAGCTTACAGGCTGGTGAGGGTAAGTACTATCTGACACTGTGGAGAGGAGGCTCTGGGGACTCTGGCATGCGAACAGCGCAGGGTAAGGAAAGGCTATGTGTGTAAACAAATAAACAACCACTATGTACATATAATTATTTTTTACTACTCCCAAGGTTTCCTCAGATGCCTCGGAGGGAGGAGTAGGAGAACTTCAAAGTGATGCTCAGCTGTGCTAGGAAATATGAAGTCTGTTATT